ACAGCTTGTTATCGACCTTCGGCCCCGTCATGGGCTCCCCCGCTGTTCTTTTGGCATTCCACACAGCGCCAGCCCTTTGCCCGCACATGGACAAGCGCGAGACGGCCAGAACCGCATGGGCATTTCGGGATGGGATCGGATACGCGGCGGGCGGTCATTGCGTTGCGATCCGCGCTGCGTCGCGCAGGGCTTCGGAAAGAGCCGTCGTTGAATACTTGACCGCCCTGCCCTTTTCGCCGCGTGCGACATGCCGGACAAATTGCGCCAGCTTGGTTTCCACTGTCGGACTATGCGGGCTGGCCGTGCGGTAAAGCACGATGACGGAGATCGGGCGATGTCGCTCGATCAGGCCGACCGGCTCGAACCATTCCGCATAATCTGCAAGCGCCGTCTCGCGCGATCCGGGCGGCATGGCGGCATTCGAAGTGATCGGATCGATCTCTGCGGGCAGGCCATCGGTGATCAGGACCACGACCGTCTGGTGCGCTTCAACGCCGTTGATGTCTGATATCGCCAGCACATAGTTTATAGCATGGATGGTCGCGGTTCCGCCCCGATGGGAACGGCCCGGATGTGACAGCGGTTCGCGCATCGCTTTCAGGTCGGCCATGGATCGGATTGTTGACGCGGCGGTCATGCTGATCTCGCCGGGATCGGCGTACTCATACACACTTAGATGCACGCTTGCGCGGCCATTGCCTTGCACAATGCGGATGATGCCCTGATCGGACATCACGTCAAACACGGACTGGCGGAATTGCTGCAATTCGTGATCGTTCACCGATGCGGAGGAATCGACCAAAACGATGATTTCGCTGTCAACGCGCTCGCCGTTCCCAAAGCCTTCGGCCCGGGCCGTGCCGCCGGCTGCCCACGGCCACAGGAACGCCACGACAACGATCAGGGCACTGACGTATATGGCCAGCGATACGATGAGATCGCGGTCATCGGGATCGGGCGTCGGAAGGCGCATCAGGCCGGGTCGCCGACTGCCGGTTCGCGGGATGGCTCGACCACTGAAACGCTGCCGGTGGCAAGAGGGCACGCCATGCCCCTGCCATGCTCGGCAAGCGTCCATGAGCCTGATTCGGGGTTGCGTGTCACCAGATAGGACTTGCGCTCGTCGGTCGAAACCCACATGACCTGCTCGCCCCACCTTTCACCGACCATCTGCAAGAAGGCGCCAAGTGGCATGCACCGGTTCTGTTGCGCCCATGCGTGCGTCATCATCGCGGCGGTAATCGCCACGGCAGCAAGTAAGGATTTCATGGGATGTCCTTTCAGGTTCCGGCGAGGCTGGCGCGCGGTTCGGATCGCCATCGGCAACAGGATGGCAACTTAAAGGTTGACTACCTCACGGCATCGTTAGATGACGCCGCAGTCCTTCCATTGGCGCAAAAACCCTTATGAAGTTCATCGTCATCGGGCAGCCGATCAGTCTTTTGCTGGGGGTTGTGGTGTTCTTGTCGCTGTCCCGCGTGCTGGGCGATACTGGTTTCAGCCTGTGGGCGATCTTCAGTTCGGCAACGGTTTTCACAGTTCACATGCAGTCGTCTATCCAAAACGTGTGGTTGCGTTTGCCGCATTCTGATTACGGTGAGGATGATGCACGCGATAAGCGCCGTCAGCTTCAGGTTTCGTACATCCGGCTTGGCGGCTTCTGCGTTACCGTCTTCGCGGCTCTTATTGCGGCTTACTTGAGCCTGACAGGCTTTGCATATGGCCTGCCGTATTGGGCCGCCTACATTGCCATGTTTGCGGCAATCTACTTCGTCGCCGACCGGTATGTCATGCTGCTTCTTGGCGGGCGCCTTCGGGAGTTCTACATCATCACCCTGTCAACGCGCGCACTGTTCGCTGCTCTCACCATCGCACTCTTGGCAGCCGGCTTTGGTCTTTGGGCGCCAGTGCTCGCAATTGGCCTGTCAAACGCAGCTTCAGCCATCGCGGTCCTGTTGTCACTGCGAGAGACCATAGGGTCGATCGCAGAGATGCCTTGGCGCAGATCGCTGACCGGATCAGTCACGTTCAATCCGCTATTCTTCGTGCTGCCCGCCAGCCAGTTGACGATCGCCGTTTTCTTTCTTGGAACAATTTCGACGTTCGATGACGCAGCGAACCAGGCTGAATTCGCGCTGGCCAATGCCATTTCGGCCGTCGCAATGACATTGGCGCTGGCGCCTTCATTGTATCTGATCCAAGCACAGCGAAATCTGCTCGGATGGGGGGCTAGACGATCAGTTGCGATCTGGACTGCCGCGTCTGTTATGTCGTTCGGCGCAGCAGTGTTTGTCGGGATCTCTTTAACGCAGACCTACCCTTCGGCGTTTGGTCGCCCGGCAGCGTCCAGTGTCTATGCGATACTCTTGCTGGCCATCATCGCGCTTGAGATAGCCAACCAGATTGCTGGAAACTTCCTCCAAATCCGGCGCATTACCAGCTTTGCCAAGCCGGTTCTGACCACATACGGCGTTGGTATCGCCGCCTTTGCACTACTCGTCGTTGCGCAGCTTTATGCTGCTGGCGTAGTCGCCCTTATCACAGCCCAGCTTGCGGTGCTGTCAATCCTTGTCTACAGAACCGCCGGAGACACCCGATGAGCACAGTCGAGACACCTATGACACGGACAGTGGGCGCCGAGGGCGACGTTGATTTGATCGTAAATGAGCGGTTTTTCCGCGACCTCGGCTTTGGCGTCATGCTGGAGGTTGGGGCTGCAAACCCCAACTATCTGTCGGTTGGCGCTCAATACCGCTCTATGGGATGGAAGGTCATATCGATCGAACCCAACCCAGCCTATCAGCCGTTGTATGAGGAAAAAGGCTACAAGGTTCTGCAATACGCTTGCGGAGATTCGGATGTTGATGATGTCGATTTCTCTGTCGTTGACTCGACTGGCATCGATTATCGCGGCGGCAATTTGAGCTTCGAATCTTGGTCATCAATCGAAATCAAGGACGATTACAAAAGCCTGAAGCCGGACATTGAGGTCAAGCATATCAAGGTCAAAATGCGGCGGATCGATACGATTCTTGCCGAGCATCATCCCGAAGTGGATGCAATCGATCTTGTCTCCATCGATATCGAGGGGTGGGAGCTTGAAGCGCTGGCGGGAATGAGCTTTGAGCGATTCAAGCCAAAGGTCCTGATTGTCGAAAACCTGTTCTACTATGCGAGCTACCGCCAATTCATGTCAGAACGCGGCTATGAATTGTGGCGCATCATCCCGCCGAATGAGATTTACGTTCGTTCCGATTTGATCGGTACTAGTGAACGCGCAATGCGCTTGGCGCCCAACGTTGCAATGACGGCATTAATGCGCTCGCGCGTTCAGCTAGGCAGGCTGAAACGGGGGGTCTGGTAGGATGCGAACCGCACGCTTTTTGCGCTGGATTTGTCGATCGTTCCGTCATCGATCCAAGGTGGTGACACCCAATGATGTTGAAGCACAAATGCGCTTTTCAGCACTGCTGAGATCGTACCTTTAGCCCGTTCAACGCGACTGCTCGCCGTGCCGGATGCACTCTGAGCGGGTCCAGACTTGGGCGCCGCACACGCCGGCCGCGGTGTCGTCAATCTTGTCCTGATCAGCGGGCGTCAGGCCCCGAGCTCCGATCAAGGAAGTACCAACGATCGCGCGGGCCGTCGCACGCTGCTGGTCAGCGCTCGCACTCACCATTTGCGAAGTCGTACAGCCGGCCAGTGCCGCGGCAATAGCGGCGCATGACACGAGCCTGGTCAGCCTGATCAGAGAGTTCATTGGCAGCATCCTTTGTTGCGGCATCGGCCTTGATGAGCGCCTGTGCGGCGCCGGTAGCCTTTTGCGCTGGGCCGTAGTCGAGAAGCGCCCAAACGATTACGACGAGGGCGGCAACGGCCGCGCCAACCCATGTCTTGGGCGAAAGAAGGAAGGACAGGGCGGTCATTCGTCACCTCCCCTGCCCGGCAGACTGTCGCGATAGGCGTAGACCAGAAGACCCAGCGCCGCTGTCAAGATGGGCGCTGTCGATGCCACGATGAGCGGCAGTTCGTCGGGCCGGAACCACAAAGCGCCAGCCGGCAGGATCAGCGCCAACACCAGCAGCGCCCAGCCCGCGCGCTTGGTGCCGTTCATGACAGCGCAGCCTTGGCCGCACGGGCCTCATTGCGTTTGCGACGGCGCTCGCGCCAGATGTAGAAGCCGAAGCCCGCCGTCACCAGTCCAAGCAAGACCCAAGGGCCGGCAGACATGAGCGTTGTCGTCGTGTCGTTGACCGCTTCGACCGTTTCGTTTACGGCTGTGACGACGCCGGTTGCGCCGGTTCCAACGGCGACGATCTCGGTTGTGGACATGCGGTCATCGGCAGCGGCGTCTTCGACCACTTGGCGGACAGGCTCAGGGATCGGCGCAGCGGGCGCGGGCGCGATAGTGGGGCGCCATGCTGCATCAAGTGCGCTGCGCGCATCCACCGTCGTCTTGTCGCGCCAGTTGACGTTGCCGTTGGCGTGAACGCCCCAGATGATAATCTGGGTGTTGCCGGTCCACTTGCCATCAAAAAACAGGTCCCGCTCTGCCCGGCGACGCGGGATGATTTCTTCAGGCTTTGACCAGTTCATGAACGAGCGACGAGCGCCCGCGATATCTCCCTTCTTGAACCTCTCAACCCAAGACGCCCTCTTGATGCCGCCGGTGTTGTAGTGGAAGCTGACCGCAGCGGCTAACTGGTGCTCATTCAGCACCATTGGCTCGAACGCCTCAATGACATCCTGCTCATAGCGGCGCAGCGCCCACAGATAGACCTCAAGAACGCGCGTCAGGGTCTGCGGCTTGTTTCGATAGCGAGGGAAAACCTCGTGGCCTGACGCATTGGTGATGCCAATGCCCCATGTCCATACACCCACGCTGTCTCTGTAGGCTTCAAGAACGGCGCCTTCATGGGCGATAAGCTCCATCGCGCCGCGCTTGCTGATACGCAAGTCGATCATGGCAGTCTCCAATGATGTCAGAAGGTCAGCGTGCGTTAGGTCGTCACGCCCTGGGTATCGATCAGCGTATTGGTGCCCGAGTTGTCTACCCAAGCATTGTTCTGCGCCTCGTTCGGCGTTCCGATCAGCACATTGTTGTCAGCCTGCGCGCTGATGACGATGAAGGTGCCGTTGCACTCGGTGGAAAAGCTGTCGATGCGATTGAGGTCAGCGTAGGCCCCAAGCGTAAAGACCGCAGCGGCGCCATCGGCCAGCGAGCCAATGTTCCAGCAAATCAGACCCGTGAACTTGTTTTCCAGACATGCCTGGTCGGGGTGAGAACCGCCGGCGAACTGGATGCCTTTGCCCTGAATGATGTTGCGAATGCGACCGTTGTTGAACGTGTTTGCGTTGCAGTTCACACCCAGAACGATACCCTGATCGATATCAGAGATCATGTAGTCGCTGATATTGTTGCCATACTTCTGAATATCGCCGTTGCCATTGTCGCCACCGACGCCCGCTGTGTTACCGGCGGGAAAGTGGATGCCAAGACAGGTGTTCACGCCGGTCTGGTCGCGCATAACCTTTCCAGTGATGCGGGCGTTCTTGAACTCTGCGTTCCAGCAACTAACCGTCTCGTCGCCAAAGCGCACAATCCCGTCATTGCCGCCACCGTCTCGGTTGTGGTGGATGTCGATGCCCGAAAACCCCGAAGCCGACGACATGACAAGGGTTGATCCGGCTGCGCTTGAATTGTCTTTGTAGAGCATGGCGCCCTGAATGGCGCTGCCCGGACCGCCGGGGAAATACATTCCCGAATGACGCTTGCCTACAAAGGATACGCCTTCCGGCATCGTGATGGTGCCGTCAACCCTGTGATTGCCATCCGTGGTAACGATGGAAGCCCCACTATCAAGCGCGCGCTGAATTTTGACGGTATCATCAGCGGAGCGATCGTTGGCCGTGCCGTACTGAGTGACATCGACCGTGTTGCCGAACCGGAGCACATTGATCTTCAGACCGCCGGCAGTGGTCAGATCGGGGTCCGCGTCGCCGGACGCAACGGCCTCAAACCGCCCCTGATCGGTCCTGATGCGGTCGCCCGCATTTGTGTTGGTGTAGTCAAGTTGCGTGTCGGCGATCACCTCCGCAACCGTGGCCAGCCCGACCGCCCGATAAAGGGCCATGTCCAGCTTGGCGAGAGTGACGGCCTCGTCGGCGATTTTTGCCGTAGTCACAGACCCGTCCGCAATGATGGCGCCGAGGTTTTGCCAGGCACCGTCCCACGCCTTCATTGCGGAATCGGTGGTGTTCCAGTAGAGCGCGCCCGTGATCGGTGAGCCGCCGGCAGCCGCCGTTGCCGCCGTATTGTCGGCGTAGGCGCCAATGTATTTTTCATTGAAACTGGCTAGCGCCGCTTCCGCTCCGGCCTGGATTGCCGCACTGGCGACATCGGATGTCAGACGGTAGCTCGCACCATCGTCGACGAACTCGATCGCCATGCCCACTTCCAGGTAATCCTGGGCCAGCGCGGTTCCGGTATTGGTCACCAAGGGCTTCGGGGTTTCACCATTGATCGAAATGGTGACCGCTCCGGTATTCGCGTCCGTGATCTCGGCGAGAAACTTGCCGCCATAGGCATTGGCGGGCAGCGCGAGCTCGGATGTCAACTGGATCGCATCGCCCGTGCCGGCACCCGCGTTCGTCAGCGGAATGAACTTGTTCGCAAGTGTCGGAATGGACGCCCACGACCCCAAGCCCGAAGCGCCGACCTTGCGATAGAACGTGCGGTTGGCGATCGTCGCGTCGTTGTAGACCAGGGCGAGCGTGCCAGCGTCATGAGCCAGATCGGCGTCCATGTTCGCCTTGGTATCGAAGGCGACAAGCCCGCCCTGAACTCCCTCAATGCCGTTGACGATGATGTTGAGGATGCGAATGATCTCGTCGGGCTTTGGCATATGCCCGTCGACAACAGGCTTTCCAAGCCACACCTGTTCGGGCGTGAGCGCAGTTCCGGTCATGCTGATAACCTTCTGATCTGGCTGAAAGTCAGGCCGTCACGACGGCGTTGAACGGGCCGGATCGCGTGCCGGCGCCGTAGGAGAAATTGAACGTCTCGAGCCAGTAGCTGTAGGTCGCGGCGGCAAGGCCGGTCTGTTCAAAAGTGGTCGCCTCGTTGGCGAGGCCAAACACATCCGCGATCGCTGTCGCATCGCCGAACGTCGTGCTGTCCGTCGCCCGATAAACTCGCGTGAAATAGAAATTGGTCTCGTTCGGCGTCGTCCAGTCCACAGTCGCCGCGCCGGTGCCACCCGTCGCGCTGGCGCCACTCACCGCGCTGTTGGCCGTGGCGTCGGCCGTGGCCGTGATCTCGCGGATCGATGACCAGTCCGTCACGCCCTGAGAGAACGAACTCACCCGCCAGCGGAACTCATAGACAGCACCCGAGACCACGCTTGACGAAACCGCTGTCATCGTCTCGCGATCGGCGATCATGTCGAGCCAGTTCGCCGTGCCCTTCTGCCGGTACTGGACCGCCACGTCGTGGTTTACCGGCAGGTCTTCGGCCGTGTAAGCGCGAAAGATGACATCCCCGCCAGAGTTCGCTGCCCCGATGGACATGTCAGCGTCGGCAATGTTCTCCAGCGCGCCATCGCCTTCAACATCAGTGTCGAAGCTCGGCGCCTCGGGCTCGCCGTCGAGGTTCCACCGATCTTCAGGGCAGCGCACCAAAGCGAGGCGCACATGCAGCCCGTCATGCGGGTCGTTGACCGGCGCGATCTCGTAGACGCCGCTGAGATAGTCATCCGAGAGGTTCAGGCGCAGGAACCGCCTGTGCTTTGCCTCGAGCGCGCGAGGGCCGGCAAGCGCCGCCACGCGCAACCGTTCGTGCTGGCGCAGCACGGCCGCCCGCATGACCCTGAACGCCTGGTTGGCGTTCTGGATCGGATACAGCTTCGGCTCTCCGGTTCGGACCGGATCGCCCACTTCCCAATCCGGCACCACGAAAGGCGTCGTCTGCGTCGGCTTGTAGTCGAGTTCGGGCGCGGTGAACGAGGCGAGGTAGTGCGTTGAGAGGCTTTCGCCGTCATCCGGGTCTTGGTTCTCGATGTCGAAAATGTCGGCATCGGTGAGAACCAGATCCGGGTCCGGATCAAACTTGCCGACCAGTATGCGAAACCGGCCATCCTCGTCGGTGAGCCGAAGGCCGTCACACGATGCCAGCATCGCGTTCTCGGCATCGATGTTCTGGTCTTCCTTCTTGTTGAAAACGACATGACACCGATAGCGGGTTTCGCCGGTGCTGGTCGTCTCGTCGCAGATGTCCGCCTGCTCGGCGATGTTCTGCCAGTTGATGTCATCGGGATGCATGCCGAACCGCTCGATATCGAGCCGGTGCGTCGCGATCATAAGGACAGGATTGCCAATATTGGCCGACCATGTGGACGGGTCGTCAACACGTTCCGACCCCGAACCGAAAGAGCGCGTGCTGTCGTTGCGCGGGTCGTAATAGCGACCGAACCATGCCGCAGTGGTGACATCGGGCTCGCCGAGGCCAAGAACGCCGCGGTTATTGAGTATCTTGGACCGCGCCGACACTGAAACCGCATCGAGCAAGAGCAGCGTGTCGGCGACGCCAGCGCCTTTGTGATCAGATGTCCACTCAGGGAAAGCCGCCGTCAGGACAGACTGTGCAGCCTGTCCGGTTGTGCCCAACCGCCCCCAAAGACGGTAATAGCTGTCCCCCTGATACTGGAAGTCCGCATCGGTGACATAGGCACCGTTGCCAAGGTTCCCGACATCCCGATCGTTCAGATAGTAGGTGAGCCTTTGCGTGATCTCGGCATCGCCGTGGGCCACGCACTTGTAAAGCGATCCACCGCTGCTTTCGGCGAAGACGACCGACCCGCCGACCCGGTTGCGGCCGCCGATCCAGAAGCGAGGCGCCTCGGCTTGAGTAAAGTTGGACTGGACGGCATCCGGGCTGCGCTGAACGACGTTGTTCGACGCGCCGGCTGGAGACAGCAAGGCATTCGACGCAAAGTTCAGCCCGATGGCCAGCGCCACGCGGGGCAGAGCGAAGATTGCCGAGCCGACCGCTCCGACCAGCGAGGTAGGCAAGCCCACGGCAAGAAGGCCGGCCTGCACCGTGGCGGTGATGGCGGTCAGCGACGTCGTAATGGCGCCGACGATACCAGCGATGATACCAGCGTGAGCCGGAACCGGATGCAGCATCGTCGAAGCGGCAAGAACGGCCGCGACCAATTTCAGACGCATCGGTAGACCTCAAGAATCGTCGCGAACCGGGACTGGCGGCAGCCACGCGCCGTCTTGAAGGCGCAATAGGCGCCAGTGCAAAGGCCCAGCACTTCCTCTCCGTGATAGTCGATCACCACGATGTCTCCGCGCCGTGCGGGGCCGTCGATGGGCGCGATCCCGATTGACGCCATGCCCTGACGGGTCATCGCCGCAACGCCGCCTTCTCGATCCGTGACCGCCTCAGCGCTTTCGTCGTCGTTATAGGCGCCTCGCCAGGCCGACATAGGATCGCAGCCGGTAAGGGCCCGCACATAGTCGGCCAAGATGGCGCCGCAATCGTTGGTTCCGCGCCGGAACTCTGTCGTGCGCATTCGGTGCAGGGTAGCCCCAAGGGCCGTTTCAGAGTGCGTCACAGCGTAATCTTGTAGCCGCCGGCATACTTGGAGACGAACTGCGCGTAACGATCGTTTGACACGCCCAACAAGACATCAGAGCGGAACTTCTGGCTGGTATCGGTGAACGTCCCGAAGCTGAGCCGCGACCGCCCGCCATTGAAGTTCTTGAACCGGCAGGAGACCGAATACTGGAGCCGGTGGCTACCGTCCGGCATCTTCGTGCGCCGCTCCGAAAAGTTCGCCCCGCCCACCAAACGGAAGCGCTCAATGCCACCGGGGTCGGTCAGTGCACGCATGCCGACCGGATCGGGCATGTAGACATAGCCGATCCGGATCAACCGGCCGGCGATTTCTTCCTCGTCCTCGCGCAGTTGCGCGTAGCTCTTAGCATCAAGGTAGCCCAGACGCATCTCGTAAAGCGGCGCGTTTCCAGACCGCGGGTCCTCGGTCTCCGGCACCTCGATGAACACCTGTTGACCATCGGCGCCGCCCACGAATCCGGTCCAGGCATTGCCGTCTGGTGTGATCATCCGACCGCGCCCACCCCACAGTCGCACGGTCTGCGACAGGAACGCTATCTCGATCGTGACCGCGACGTTGAGGTGACGGTCGCTTGCCGTCGACGCATCGAGGTACGCTTCGAGTTGATCAAAGAAAGTGCTCATCAATCACCTCGTTCATCGTGATGGAGCCGGGGCGGAAGATGTTCGCCGGATCGAACATGGAGATGAAGGTGCTGATGTCTTCAGGGGCGCATAGAACTGAAGGCCTAAGCGTCACGATCTTGTCGAGCGCAACCGTGTAATCCCTTGCCAAGGCCGGGCGGCAAGTCACGGTTGCGATGTCGCCATCCACGTCAATGTCATCGACGTGATAGGTATTTCGGCCGAGACCGAAGACCTTGCCATAGGTCAACGTTCCGGGATGGCGAGAGACATCGAGCGTGACTGTCGTCTCCCCCTCATTGGCGTCGGCGCCCAGATCCACGGTCGGCTGATAGCGGAAGCCGTAACCGGTGGAAAAATATGCCCCGGTTGCGAACGGAATGCCCCTGGCAAACTCCCTTTCCTTGGCGATAATCTCGGCGCTGGTGGCCAACTGAGAGCGGTTCCATATCGGCACGCTGAAGATCGTGCTGTTCCCATGGTTTAGAAGCCAGGCATAGTAGTGACCGTATTCCCGCCCGTTACGTGCACCGAAGTTCATCCTGACCTGATTGCGCGCGCCAAACACCGGCGTGCTGCTCTCATATCCGCCGCGCGATATGCTTCCAGTCCGGGTGTACTGCGGAGCGATGACGATCGTGTCCGTCGGGACCAGCACGCGAGGCCAGTCGCGCAACAGCCGGGTCATGCCAGCGACCCGTCACGCTGAAGGCTCTGCGGCCACCCGGAACTAAGCCCCTGCTTGACATCCCTGACCGCCGCGGAACGCGCTTCTGCGGCCCCCCGCTGGACCATCCTCATCACAGTCTCGTCGGTGATGGCGCCTTCGATGTGGAAGTGTTGTTCAATCGTCATATCTGCCGGCCCACCTGTTCTCCCGACATTGCGCGACAGGGCGTTTCCGATCCGATCGGTGTCGTCACCGGTGAAAACGGTCTCGCCTTCTTCCAACAGCTTCAGCACCTCTCCATGCCCGAACCTGCCACGCCGGCGCTCGACATCCCCACCATCGTGCAGAATTCCAGGAATGATGAGCCCGCCCAGCAGCCCGCCTGCCCGGCCGACAGAGGCCCCGGAGATGCCCCCTCGCAGCCACGCGGTCAGCGGTTCGATCACGGTCAACTGGAGGTAGAGTTCGGCAAGCTTCTTGAGCAGGTTTCCCGCGGCCTCTTCGAGGCTTTCGGCGCCCAGAATCGAGTTCGAGAAGAGCTCCCCAAAGGCAGTGGCCAGATCGTCAGCGAACTGTGTCAGGCGCTCGTTGTAGGCGATCTTCTCAAGCTCAGCCCTGATCTGCGCAATCTGTTCTGGCGCTTCTCCGCCAAACTGAAGTGCGTCGATAAACTCCCCGACCTGTATCTCGGCCACGCCGAATGATCGCGCCGTTTCAATTGTCCTGCGATCAAGTTCGTCCATGAGCGCAAGCGCGCCATCGTCCCTCAAGCCCTGAAGGTTTTGCTGGAATTCGAGCGCCGCGATCTTCTCCATCTCGGATCGGATGGCCATGATCTGGGCAGGCGGTTCGCCGCCTTCGCCGCGTGCATATGCGATAAAGGCGGCAATCTCATCACCTGCCAGGCCAATCGAGCGAGCCGCTTTGGCAGCCTCCTGGTCGATCCGATCCAGTCCCACGATCGAGGCGTCGAATCGCAAACCCTCAATCGTCTTTTGGAACTGCTCTGCTGACCGCTGGGCGTCGGACTTGCCGCCCTTGCTTCGGCGCTCCGGTTTGTATTCGACGCCGTACATGCGTGCGAGCACGGGATCGCGCTCAGCGACTTCGCGCTGCCGCTTGCCGAAGCCCTCAAGCGCAGCCTCCTGCTCGGTCGCCAGTTGCTCCAACTGCTCGGTGCTTAGCCCGCCCCTCGCGCGTTCGCGCATCTGATCAAAGCTGGGGCGCCCCAACCTGCCGCCGCTCGGGCCCGTTACGTTGATGTCGGGCATGCTGAGTGACTGGATTGATGCGTTGAGAGCATCCATCTCGCCACGCGCTGCCGCAGCCTCGCCAGCGACGGTGCGAAGACGATCAAGCAGATCTGCAATGTCGGGGTTGGCCCGCCCCAGGTCTTCGATTGCATCGAACAGATCCTCGGCCGAGACCGTCCCGTCTTCAAACCCGTCGATGAGCTTCTTCAGATCGGCCGAGACCTGCTTGGCGGCTTCAAACGAGACCTCCCGGTTGACGACAGTGATGTATTGGCCAGCCGCGAACCGAAGGGAACTGAAGCTTGCCTCCAGATCTTCATTGGCCTGCTTTCTCTGAGCGACCGCAGTGGTCAGGGATAGCTGTGTCTCCTGTTCCTTGAGCGCACGCGAAGTCTCACGGATGCTGGCGCCCGCACCGTTATTCGCCTCTCCAGCGCGACGGATGGCTTCGGCATACCGATCCGACCTCTCCTCAGCCGCCTGCGCATTGCGAGCCTGCGCCGAAAGCGCGACACTGACGCCGATAAGCGCCAACCCGACCGGCCCGCCCAGGAACGACATTGCCCCCCTGAGCGCGTTCATGGAGCCGGTCCAAGCCATGGTTCCGAGGCGCGCGCTCTTTTGCGCTGTATCGAGGCGGCCGACAGCAACCGCCGCCGTGGTCGCTGCTTGGCGCTTTTCCGCAATCGCCGCACGCAGATTGTTTTCAGCCTTCACCACTCGGGCGGACTGACGCGCGATCTGCTTCTCCGTGTAATTGCCATCGGCGCGCATCGCAGCGAGGCTGGCGCTCTGGCGTGCGGCCGATTCCCGAGCGGTCGCCCTGCCTTGCTGAGCCGCAGCCAGCCGGATATCCGCGGCGCGCTTCTCCTCCAATGCCAGCTTGAGAGTTTCCTGACGCTGCGCGCGGATCGCGGCAGTGTAGCCGCCAAGCGCCCTGAGTCCCCTGCCGCCAAATGCGGCCAGTCCCACAACCGCAATGGTCTCCAGCGCCTCGATAATCCCTTCCATGTTGTCAGCCAGCGCATTCACGGCGCTGATGCTGAAACGCATGCCCTCGTCGATGGCACCGTTCTGGCCCACGGCCTTGAGGATCTCGTTGTCGAGCCGGACCAGGGCCTGACCGAATGTCATCTCGGTCTGGGTGAACAACTCATCAATCGCGTCGCTGGCGTTAACGAAGGCGTTGACGATCGTCTTGGCGGTCAGTTCTCCTTCTTCGGCAAGCTCGCGCAGTTTTCCGATGTCGCCATCGGTGATCTCTTCGGCCAGCAAGCGGCCCAGAGCCGGGTTTTCGAGAACCGACCGCAGTTCATCGCCCTGAAGCCGGTTCGACGCGATACCTTGCGACAACTGGATCGCAGACTGAGCGCTTTCAATCGGCGTCGACCCACCAACCAGAAACGCTTTCTGGATCGTCTCGGTTGCACGCAGAGTGTCCCGCTGAGAGATATTGAGGCGCTTCGACGACTGCTCGATCCGGGCAAACAGGATCGCAGTTGCTTCGTACTGAGCGCGCGAACCCTGGGCGATGTCGAAAAGGTTCTGCTGAAGGCCTGCGACGGTCGCGGTCTCGCGCTTGACCACGCGCAAGCGGTTCTCGATCGTCGTGTAGGTGTCGGCGTACTCCTGAATGCCCCGGAGCGTGAACGCTGTCCCCAAGCCGCCCGCGAGGGTCGTGACGGCCAGCAATCCGGTGCGCAGGCGATCGATGTTGTTCGACGCCCGAACCGCCGACAGGCCCATGATCTGGAAGTTGCGGGCGGTCATCGAACGAACCGAACGGTTCATCGACAAGACGCTGCGGTCTATGCCACGCGCTGCCCGCTGGGTACGGTCGCCCTCACGTTCGATGGTGTCACCGAACCGGCGCGCGTGAGCGACCGCGCGGCCATAGTTCACATCGAAAAGGATTTCGATACTTCCTACACGTGCTGGGATAGTACACCTGCCGACCGCAAGTTGCGGTTAGTCTTGCGGGGTGCTATCCGGAAGCGGACGAGCGGCTGTTCCAGCAGCCAGCTCGCCCTAACCAGCCCAACCTGTACGGAGGTCAAGATGGCTAGCACCCGTCTATGTTCGATTCCTGATTGCGGCAAGCCGCATTCCGCCCACGGCTATTGCGCAAAGCATTGCTATCGCTACCGGCGGTACGGTGATCCGCTGCACCTAGTTCGGCAGCCGAAGCCCGCTGAGTGCGATGTTGATGGCTGCACTAAACCAGTGAAGCAAAATCGGCTCTGCTCGACCCATTTCATGAGGTGGTATCAACACGGCGACCCGCTGAAAACGTTGCAGGCAGCCCCTACTGAACGTCGTGCCTTCATGCAGGACGCCATCAATTCTTCGACCGATGACTGCATCAATTGGCCCTACGGCTGTAACGAACAGGGTTATGGCGTCATTACGATCGACGGATGGAAAGGCAAGGTCCACCACTACGTCTGCAAAGCAGTTCATGGCGACCGCCCATCGCACAGACACGGGGCGCTTCACTCATGCGGCAATGGTCACTTGGGTGCATCAACCCTAAGCATCTCTATTGGGGAACGCAGAAGGAAAACGTTCGGGATGCGTTTCTCCATGGCCGAGTTCCCCTCGGACTAGATAACCCAGCAACCAAGCTTAGCAATGAGCAAGTCAGATCAATCCGGCTTCTGAAAGGGAAACTCTCTGGGCGGGCAGTTGGCAGGCTATTCGGTATCAGTAGGAGCCACGCGAACGACATCATGTCTGGCAGAAAAAGGACTTACGTTGAGTGATCCGCTCTACTCAGCGTTCATTTCTTGGGCACCGCGAATGGCGCCCCTGATCCGCTCGAACAGCGAGCCGGACGTTTCGGGCTTGCGCATGTAGGTGTCGAACTTCTTGATCCGTTCCGCGCGCTGAAGGCTGGCGTTGAAGTGTTCGAGTTGCGCCGCCCGCCGATAGGCATCGGCCTCGACCTTCGCGCGCGTCTTGGCGTAGCGCACGACCTCAGCGGGACAGAGCCGGTACACTTCGGTCGGCGTCAGTCCTGCTCGATATCCGAGGATGATGGATCGTTCTGCTCCTCGGGCTCCTTGAAAGGGTCGCCGTCGTCGGACTCCTTCGCCGACTTGGTCACCTGCTCGATCGCGTCTTGTCTGATCTTGCGAGCCTCCTCGACCGCCTCGGCATAGGTCTTGCCCTGCGTCTGCATCATGAACGCGTCCATCACCGCATCGCGGAAGGCGTCAACCGTGATGCCTTGCCTGGCCATGTGCTCGAAGATGTCATCGGGCATGTCCACGGGCCGCATCCCCCCGCCGTCCTCCACCTTCAACCCGTGCGCGACGAGCGGCGGAAAGACGCTTCCCGATGAACGGGAAAGAAGCCCCTCAACCTCGGGAATGACCTCGCCCGCGCCGTAGATCTCCTCCAGCGCGATAAGGTCCCTGTGACGAAAGAAAAAGAAAACGCCCTCCCCCCAATCGGGAAAGGGCGCTCGGAAATCGGCGCGCATCAGAATACCCCTCAGACGTCAGCAGCTTCCACGAACGGCGATACCGGCTTCAAGGTCACATCCATGGCCATGACATCGCCCACAGGATAGGAGCGCGAGAAGTTCAACACGATCGCGGTGAACGACTCCTTTTGGGTGCTGCCGGGCTCGACCAGCTCGAAGTTGATGCGCTGGCCGCGCTTGCTGCGAAGGCCCGTCGAGGTGTCGTGCGTGGCCTCGTTGTAGTCGTAGATCAGCGGCAGCGTGATTTCGGTGCCATCAATCGGGCCGGCGATGTATTCGCGGAACGGCAGGCCGTTACTGGTTGCGGAACCATGGTTCGTGGTTTCGACCAGTTCCGAGTTCTCCTCGACATCGAAGTCACGGATGCCGGCAATCTCGGAAAAGACTTCAGGGTCGGCGCCGTCGCCCATGCGAAGGACGACGCCAAAGCCAAGGCGGGGGTTAAAGGGCATCGTTGATCTCCTTCATGCTGATGCGCTTCTCCGTCCGGCACTGGATGTAACCAGGGCCTTCCATGGTGGTCGTCTTGCAGACCGGGCAGCGCCACATGGGCTTGCCCGACCACTTCGTTTCCTCGATCACCGAGCCGCGACCGCACCGATAGACAGCGACCGTCTTGGGCGGCGTCTCAGGAGCGGGTGAAGTGGACTCGGTAGCTGTCGATCTGGCGGTAGGTGTCGCCCGTTTCGGCATGATCGCTGTTCCTGCTCTGGTGTTGGATCAATTGGATCGAGATGTCGCTGGCGGCCCCGACATACCCCTGCAAGGCGTCGTGCACCGCACGCGCCAGGGCCGATGTCGCCTGCGCAGAGGTAGCCACGCTGTAGACGCGGACGAGATCGTCGTTCAGGCCATGCGGGCCTTGGTGGGTGAAGCCGTCGGTTCCCGAAACCAGTTCAAGCATCGCGCACGGCAGGACCGGATTGACCGGCATGCCCGCGATGTAGGTCTGGCCGCGAACAGCCTGGTACGCCGCCCCGCTTTCCAGCAGGTCGTGCAGCGCCTTCAAAAGGTCCATGTCAGGAACCGCGACCGATCCGGGCGGCTTGCCGCTCCACGGCTGGGCCCACCTTTTTGCCGAACCGGTTCACGGCCTCGTCTTCATTTTCGTGATAGGCGGGCTCGAGGAACGGTTTCGCCCGTGCACCGGGGTGCATCTGTTGTCGCTTCGGCTGCCAGTGCGGCGCCGTACCGAACTCGACCAAGTGTGCCTTGGACACGGCCTTGCCCGTGGCGGTGACGTGGTGCCGAACGTGACCAGCCGGCGCCTTGCGGATTTTGCGGATGCGCATGCCATCGTGGAGTTCGCCGCTCTCATAGGAGCCGTTCTCCAGCAGTTTGCGCTTCGCACTGCTCAGAACCGGCTGAAGGCCAAAGCGGGACGCCTCGCCGATCGGGCGTTCATAGGACTTGGCCAGACGACGCAAATTCCTTGCCGTCTTCCGGTGACCCTTGACCCTGCTACGCGCCATCGCCGTATCGCTTTTCTTCTGCCTTCAGAAGCACGTCGTCGTGATGATCCTCGTCCCGCATGATCGCCACGATATCGAAGGTTCGATAGGCGCTGGTCAGGGGATCGGGCAGCGGGTCATAGACACCGGTCTCGTTCAGAACGATGCGCATCTCATCGGCTACCCCGTTGAGATCGAGCCAGTCGCCGCGAATGTCGTGCGTTACCGTGCCCAGCGTCATTTCATCGCGCGTGACCTCGCGACCGCGCAGGGGATTGATACTCACCCAAGCCTTCGTGTGCTCGGTCCAGTCCTCATCGTTGGTCCAGCCGCTCTGGTCTTGCCCTGCACCCTTCTTCTGGATCAGCACCAGGTTGGTGCGACGGTAGGCGGGCGGCGGCATCAGTACCGGCTCGTCTGTTCGTCACCGACATTCGGCACGCGCCAGTTTCGCAACAGATCGCGAACTCCGAACGGTATCTCCTTGGGGATATCCATGAGGCGCTGGTCCATGTGCGCCGCACCGCGGTGCGAGAACCAATGCGATGCCAGAAGGACGACGGCTTGCTTGACGCGCGCCGGGACCGCAGCGGCATTGGCATACCCGGCGGTCCACTGGATCGTCATCGTGCCGGCCTGAATGGGATGGTCATCAAGCGCAGCGATCTCGAATTCGGGCAGCATGCGCTGATAGCGCGGCGTCATGCCCGACGTGTCGACCGTCACCGCATCCGCATTCTCGATCTGATAGATCAAGGAGGAAAATGCGATGAAGGGAGGGCGGGGCAACGCGAACGTCGGATAGACCCGATCGTAGGTCAGCCGATACTCAACCGAAAGAAGCGGCCTGCTGTACTCCTCGACGATCCAATCCTCAGCGGCGTCGATGAACCCCTGGATCAGGCTGTCCTCGGTCGCATTCAGAACCCTCTTGTTCGCCCGCACAAGGCTTGCATCGACGGTCCGACCGCTGGCCGGCGTCACGATCTGAAGGTCCATCGCGCTTCTCGTACCGGGTCACATCTGAGCGGTGGTAGGGAGCGGAACCATGCCCGCCCCCCATGTTTCTGCCCGTCATCAGCGGTTATCGCCGACGAGCGTCTTCGAGATCGGCTTGCGATCGGCGCCGAAGAACACCCATGTCGCGACCACAGTGGCGGTGTCGGTGATGGCCGCCGAGAGATCGGACGTGATCTGGGAGCGCACGTAGCGGTTTGCTGCGGCCAGATCGAAATCGAGTTCGATCGTGCCTTGTTCAGTCGAGCCGCCGGTGCCGCCGGTTGCGACAACAGCCGATGCCAGCGCGGAACCAAAATCATCGGCCCCCGTGCCATCGTCGGCCGTCGCATCCTGAATATTGGCGGCGATGGACAGGGTGGCATCCTGGGTCAGCGTCGCCTCAAAAGCGATCACCAGCTTGGCAGACATCACCAAGCCATGGTCGGTGCCCTTGCGATCAACCCACGGGCCACTCTGCTCCGAGTTGTCCGTTCCGGCGCCGGCCACCAGCGCATGAACGTCCGCGAAGGCACTGCGTGCGCAGGCTCCGCCGTTGTGGAAGTCCGCCTTCATGTCAGTTCTCCTCGCGTTTGGTGTAGGCATCGAGAACCGTGACGGCTTCATCGTCGCTCTCGACCTTGCGTTTCATGATGCGGGTGGCAAGGCCGATCCGCGTTGCGTGGTGGGCATCACGCCAATCGTCAGGAACATCGATCGACGTGTCGATGTCTTCGGGAAGCGTGAACGGGTCGCCATCGGTCTCGACCGACACGACTTTCGGGGCGACATCGGCCGGCGGCCGGTCGCGGTAGACCGCAACCTTTGCGATCTCGACGAGATGCTTGGCGCGATCGGGCTGGAAGCCGGCAAAATCGCCGGGGTTGTACGCTCCAGCCGACTTGGTGAAGTGCACGATGACTTTCTGTTTCATGATAGTTCTCCAGATGGCGAGACAGCGGGCGTGACACCGCCGTCCATCAGGCCGCTTAAGCGCCCCAGCGAATGTCTTCGGTGACCGTGATCGCCTCGACGTGCTCGACGGTGACATCGTGGCGCATCACACCCAGCAGGAGCGTTTCCTTGCGCTGGAAAGCGGACTGAACCACGTTGTTGGCGTCCCGGTAGGCCGCCTCACGCGACACCGAGAGTTCCATGTCGCCGGCTTCGCCCATCAGGATATGGTCGCCCGCTACGAGCGCCAGCGGCGCGGCATCACCACTGCCGCCCAGGTTCTCGGGCAGGTTGGTGGTGTCGATGACCGGCCGGCGCTTGAACGTCGGGTTTTCCATCTGGAGGCCGGCGTAGACATAGTTGCCGTTGCCGTCCTTGAGGTCTTCGAGATAACCGCGGGTGCGTTCGGTCATGATCCACGCCGCACTGTCGAGGTTGACATCACGCGTGGCCAGATCGTTGATCATGGCGCGGGTCACCGCATCGACTTCAGCCTGCGTCGGCGCCGTTGCATCCGAGTAGGTGCCACCGACACCACCGGTGCCAACACCTGGGATATTGAAGATGCCCTGCGGAGCGCCGTTCTGCCCGTCGCCGCGAAGAAACTTCTGGTCCATCGTGGTCGACATCACCCGGCGAAGGCTGCGCTCGACGAACGCCTGTGCGCCCTGGATCGAGAAGTCGATCCACTGGTTTGACATCGGGATCAGCGCGCTCAGTTCCTTGGCGACCATTGAGATGCCGCGGAAGGTGAGTTCGGTCGCCGGAGCATTGGCCAGTTCCTGACCATAGCCGGCCGTTGGCTTGGACGCGCCGCCGGGCTGCTCATAGGAGCCGTTCGGCATCGGCACGCGGTTCGGGTTGAGGCGCAGGAACACCGTCTTCGGCCACAGGAAGTCGATGATTTCTTGCGACATGAAGGACGGAACCACGGCGCCGCCTTCGGTGAAGATCGATGCGTTCATTGAGCGCATCTCATAGGCCAGTTCATCGGCCAGCGTAGCATGTCCAGCGTCACGGATGGCCTTGAGCGGGTCGTCGACGATACCGCGCGCCTTGGCGGCGATACCGATCATCACGAGACCGACCTTCAGCACGCCGTCGGTGGCTTCACCGCCGCGCGCCTTGGCGAACGACGACTTGCGGGCAGCGGGATCGGATTTCACGTCGTCATCCCCTTTCTTGCCTTTTTCGGCGCTGGCCAGAACGGTGGAGGCGGTCATTTCCTTCTGGAAGTCCTCCTCCTTCCCGATCTGCTCGGTCAGCGATTTCACACGCTGCTCGAGTTCGTCGAGATTGGCCTTGTCTTCATCCGAAAGCGCCTTGAACTGGCCTTCTTCGTCGACCAGCGCATCGCGCGCCTTTTCGATCGCCTCGAGAGCGGTGGCTTTCGCGGCGCGGAGTTTGTCGAGACGATTCATGTCTGCATCCTCTTGGTTTGAATCAAAAAAGGCGCCGCAGCGCCCTCTCCTTGCCCCTATGGGCCGTTCCGGTTGCCCGGCTCTCTCAGGCGTTGGCCTTCAAGATTTCTCCGAGACGCGCGTAGCGCTCCTCGCTCTCCTTCTGCCGGGCGATCTGCTCGGCTTCGGAAATGGTGTCCTGCTCTGTCGGCAGGAAGATCGATTTGATCTTGTCGATGATCAGCGAAAGGCCCTGCTTGCCCGTTTCGGACAACTCCTCGGCCTCCGGCTCAATCTCTGCCACAGCCTTGTCGATCTCGCGCTCAAGCGCCTCGAGGGCTTCGACTTCGCGCTGTTCGTCCGGGTCGGGCGCATCTTCTGGCTCAATGCCGGCCGCGCGCTCCATGCGCTCCGTCAGCGCCTCAAGCTGGTCGAGTCCCTTGATCTCGATCAAAGGCGTCTCAACCTGCAAAGACATCTTGTTGCCGGTCAGTTCGCGATAGACGGCCTCGAAATGGTCCTTGTCGATCATCTCGGCGACGCCAGGGGCGTTCTTGATCGTTTCAAGGAAATCCTCGATCACTTCAGGCGTGACGATCTCGTCGCCACCATGGCCCTTGACCAGCGCCTGCCGTACAGCAGGGATGGTGACAACGCTCACTTCCAGAAGCTCTGATTCCAGATAGCGGTAGCCATAGTTCCAGTTGCCTTCGTCATCTAGGATCTTCTCGACCCGTTTCGGACGAAATCCAATCGAACACGCGCGCAGCGTGCCGGCTTTCACATGACGGGCGACGCGATCGGCGGTGTCGTCCAATCCCTCCTCAGTGAAAGTCAGCTTCCCCTCGGTTCGTCGCGGCGATGACTTCACGGTGCGGATGTCAGACCAAGAGCCGATGGGCATGTCCCACGCGCGATGGCCGAAAAGCGCGATAGGATTGGATGCGAACCGTGACTCCAAATCAATGCCTGCTTGGACGACCACGTCGCGGTAGGAGTCTTCGACCTCGGCACTGACAACAAAGTTTGCCGACCGATCCTGATCATTCCATGACTTCGGCGACACATGCGCCTTATACAGAACGCCATCATCGTCGCTGATCTGTTTCCGCGCATCGATGACATCGGAAATTTTGACTTCGACTTTCTTTGGCATTTGATTCTCCAAATCAGCTTACGAGACGCAGATCAGGAGAATTTTGCTTCTCCTCGTCGCCATTTTCGGAAACAGATTTCGCCGCTTCCTCTGCCGTGTCGCCGCGGCTCTGCATGACGATCTCGTTGTTCTCGTCAATCATGACGGCCGCTCCGGTGACCAATCGGGCACTGCCGGCCGCTCCACCCAGCTTCCGCCATCCGCGCCGGAATCGGTACTCGTCAACGGTGACAGCACCACGCTCAAGCTCCTCGCGGAGCATCCTCGCCTTCTTGGCTGGATCGATCGAGTATGCTGCATCGCGGTCGAAGGCCACGAACATGTCATCGTCTTCAGCGCTGGTCAGCAGGCGGCGATTTGCAACTTCTTCGATCGTGTCGAAATAGAGCGAGAGAGTGTCGTTGACGTAGTGTCGGTCCATCGGCTCGATATTGTCGTATTTGACATCGTCGAGGGCGAAGACCTTGTGTGGGGGCACGCGGAGCAGTCGACACGCCTCATGGATCGTCGAGATGAACGTCTTGTCGTAACCTTGGTCAGCCGATGCCATGCTGAGACTTTTGACTTCCGGGTTCTCCCCGCCTTCGCCTTCAAGGATGAGCGGCTTGCCCTGCGATCGACTCGCGCTGAGCGCTTCGTCAACGCCTCGCTCGATACGCTGGAACTGCTTGTCATTGAGCCCGTGCGGGAAGCTCAGCGCAACGATGTCCATGCCGCCGCGCTCGAACATGTCTGACACGAACTTCCGCATGCCCTTGAGCGTTTCATAGACCTCGCGACCTAGATGCGTCGACGGCAATGCGACCAGTCCATCCAGCGTGCGGCCGCGGAAGTGCAGGACATCTTCGGCAGGGATCAGCAACGGCGCCCAATAGAGTTGGACATCGTCGTGATTGCTCGCCTTTGTGACGCGATAGAAATACCGACGCTCGCTGGTATTGACCTCCACACGGCAACGCTCCGGGATATGGGCGTACAATTCGCCGGCATCGCCGCGACCACGCCGACGGATCAGTGTGGTGGCCTCCTGGTAGAGCGAGAGATGGAAGGCCGTCAGGCGCAGCCACTCCTTGGTGCCCATCCAGTCGTTCGGCCCGCGTTTCAAAAGGCGCGCTATGGGATGCTGCGACGGCAAGACACGCTCTGGCCCCTGCTCGGTCTCCCGGTAGAGGTAAAGGGGCGTCTTGCTCACATCTTGAGCGATGACATCGAAGCAGGCCAGTCCGGCTGCGACCCTGAGCGCCGTTGACCGACCGAGACCGCTGAAGCGGCCTGAAGCCATAAGCTTGCCCAACTGGTGCGTTGTCCACGGACCGCCCGCAGACCGGACCTGCATGCCATTTTCAGACGGCAGGTTGTTTTCCAAAGGTTCGCACTCCTCGGGTCGCCATCGGGCTGATCGCGTCGCCGTCATCGCCCTGCGGGTTGAGCCGGGCCGCATTGGCCTGCACCAGGCAGTCAACCCCGTCGATCTTCATCGGGCTGTTCTGGCTCGGCTTCTTCGGCAAAATCAGATCTGCGGTGTTTTCCTCCGCGATCACGTTCTCAACGTTCCACGCCAACACGGGGTTGCCGTCGTGGAAAATCGCCTTGTACTTGCCCACCGCGCGGGCCTGTATGTCCTTCGTCGGATCGGAAAAGTTCGGCGCGTTCTTGCGCATCGACACCATGGGCATCTTGCGCTCCTCGCCCCATGCCATGAGCTGGTTCGCCTCGCGATCGTCGACCACTACCGTCTCAAGCGCAAACGCAGCTTGCAGGTACAGAAGATCGTCCTGCATCGCCTCATAGCTCTGGCGGCTGCCGGGAACGAAGCTCAGATGCCCGGTCCTCTCCCACTCGACGTAGAAGTCGCAGATCTCCTCGTCCTCACGCCACGGCCCTTCCTCGGGCACGTAGTGCTTGGCAAAGACGAACAGGGCGCTGTCCTGCTCGAAGACTGCGGCCCAGCAAGTCATGTCCAGACGGCTGGAAAGGTCGACTCCGACCCAGCATGGCTGGCCGATGAACTGCTCCATGTGCAGGTCCGGCAACAAGCACTCGCTCCAGTCCGCAGCCGAGATCAGTTTTGAAGCCCCCATACCCCAGACATTGAAGCGGGTTCGCAAAACCTCTGACTTGTTGCGCGGGCTGGAGAAAATCTCCTCGATTTCTTGCTTCATCTTGCGCATCGGTGTCGAGACACCGGCGTTCGGGTTGGCCTTGCGGATCACGATCTCGTCGCGCCAGCGGCCGGCCTTGATGTCCTCGTCGTCAACCGTGAAAATCGCTGCGAACAGTTCGGGACGATGGCGCCGACCTTCAATGACATCAATCGCGGCGTTTCTTTCGTCCCATCCAACCCCGAAGGTGTAGCGCCCAGCCGAACCGATCTGGAGAAACAGCGATTCCGGCCGTGCGCCCTGCGACGATTTCATGACGGTGAAGATCGCTGCGGGCAAAGCATGGAACTCATCCGCGATCACTATCTTCGGGTCGTGTCCATCCTGCTTCTCGCCTGCGGCGGTAAGCGTCACGGCATAGCTCTCGGTCGAGCCAAACGTGATCTGCTTCAGCGTGGTCTTGATCTCGAAATGCGCCCTCAGCGAAGGATCGTTGCTGACCATTTTCGACATCGGCTCAAGGATCTTCTTGGCCTGGTCCTCTTTGGGCGCGATGATGAACAAGTCATCCCCGATGTGCGCATTTGGACCAAGTTCGTACAGCCCGATGGCAGCGGCGAGCAGCGATTTTCCGCTCTTGCGGGTGCACTCCAAGATGACAACGGAGACGACCCGATCGCCCGTGTCCGTCCACCTGAAGCCATAAATCGCGATGCAGACCCATATCTGCCAGGGCTCGAGTACGATCTTTTGCTTGGCCAATACGCCCTTGACGTGCGTCAAGGTCTCGATAAATGCGCAAACCTCCACAGCATGGGCGTCCGACCAGTAGATTTCTCCCTTTCCAGACCCAGCCTCCTCGTACATGTCGAGAAAGCGCTGGCAGGCCCTCCGCATGAGCCGGCAGGACGGTATCTTGGCGTCTGCGACCAGTTCGGCATAGGCCACGCCCATCGCGACATAGTCAGGATAGGCTCGCCCCTCGAAAGTGACCTTATTGCCAGTATCAAGCGCCGCCCGAGACGCCTTGTCTGCGGGCGCGAACTTGACGACCTTGCGGCGCGGCATCTCCCTTACAGGGCAACGCCCGACGGGTGGATCTTGACCGACAGAACGCTGGCGGACTTGGCGATCCCGATGATGCAGGGATAATCGCCGGTCGTCAGGTCGGCCACTGGCGCAATTCCTCCGGGGGTGGCCGACTGGTAGTAGGCGACGCCGGGGCTCAGGGTCGCGCCGATCGTGATGTCGCCGGACTCCAAGACCTGAACCGGCTGGTTTGCCGCCGCATCATTCAGTGCGATGCCGTCCGGCACGCGCGCCGCCGCCGTCGCGGAATCGCAGTCGGCAAGCTCCATATCGCCGTCGGCAGCCTGAAAGACCGTCTGACCGGCGGTAATCGCAACGCCAGCGGTTCGGTCCAAAATCTTGGCGCCCGAGCCGCGCACGACGTTTGCGGCGGTGATAGTCAGATCGGCCATGTCGAATCCTCGTCTTTCTGATCAACCGTGTCGGGCGTCGCGTGCCCGTTTTGCAAAACCGAGCGCGGCCCATGGGTTTTCGCCTCTCGGTCGCGCGCCTGTCGTGCTGTCGCGGACCTCTCCGACGATCTTTTCGAGCTTCAGCGTCGCAGAACGGCGCAGTTCCATCGTCGCGCGCGGAAGGACTTTGCCCTGCTCACGGCGCAAATGAATTTCATCGGTGGCAATCGCCAGGTTCTCGATGTGCTCACGCGCAATCGAGGTCAGTCCGCCCACCTCGAT